CGCTCCTCGGCCCCCCGTCCCGGAATGCCTCCACCTGAGCGTCCAAGATCGAACTCTTCGGCGGGTCGTGCAGATTGAACCTCCCAGTATGGCCGACAGAGGGAAATTCAGTGCCGTTCTCACCAAGGGACACGAAAACAAACTTACTCTTCCAACCATGGATGGACGAAGGCAAGTGCGTGAAGCTCCTCTTCTTCGGCAATTGTTGGAGGGTAGCGTAGGCCACACAGTTCTTGTGGCTTCCTCGGCCAATCTGGTAGAGGTTCATGAAGAGAGCTGTCGTCGGCTTGTAGCCCAACTCTTCACAGCGCAGCAAGAATCCCACCATCAACGAGTAGCTGTTCGGGGTCAGCAAGGCCGGAGGAAGTCCCACCATGTCCCAATATTCCATGATGAAGGGATGAAGGGGAAATATCAACCCCTTGGCGAAGCTCATCGGGTACACTCCGAAGTATCCCGGCGGCGGATTAAGTACATGGTCCGTCGGCCTGGGTGCCCTAACTCTCCCGAACGACCCCACATACATCTGCGCGACTAGGTAATCGGCCGCGTTGCTCTCCGGCTTGATAAGGTAGATGTTCGTGAGATCCAGGTGGGAGTACCCTGGCCCACTCCTCGGCCTCCTTATCCTCTTCGGCCTCTCTGCTCCCTTCACAGCGGACACCGGCTTCGGGCACGGAATAGCAGTGGAAGTGGACGCCCCGTCCACCACTCGGGACGCACTTGCGTCCTCGCCTTTCGAAGACGAGGCAGACTCCTCGTCCTCACCCTCGTCGTCCTCCGGCTCTCCGGACTTATAGGGGCTCAGACGCTCTATTTCCTCCTCAAACTCCTCAAGCACCTCGTAGTCAAGGGACCTAGTGGAGGGCTGGTCGTCGTAGGGGTAGTACTCCTCGTCCAGGCTCTTCATCTTACAACTATTAACGCCCTAAAGGTCTCTACTTTGGATCTAAGTGTGAATCCCCTATTAACACTAGATCAAAGGCCCAGGAAGCAAAGTATACGAAATATGAAAGGAACAGGTGAAGAACTGACCTTTGAATATTTGAGGAAACGGAAGAACACTTGAACAAACACCTCAGCGACTCTCTCTCTAGAAATTTCAGCAGCACTTTGTGGGCACAGATTGCAAATGAGGTTACCGCGTCGGAAGGGGAGGGGTATTTATAGACCTCCTCTCCAACGGTCACTACACGTGGCACCATATCAGTGGCCACCTTCCCAGCAGCCAATGAGGTGCCACCCCTTCGGAAATGGGCCGGGCTCGTGAACTAACCTACCGGCGGAGTAAAACCCTACGGATCACACGGACAACAAACGCCCACAACGGCCTATACGCTTGCCGGCTTCACAAATACCAGCAAAGCACCCAAACCGGCCTATACGCTTGCCGGCTTCACAATGCCAGCAAAGCACCCGCAACGGCCAAGGCACCCAATGCCTCCACAGCGATAAGGAGATGACAACGGCTAGGAACGTCATGAACGCCCGTAACGGCCACAGAACCAAAGGAACAAAGAACCCGCAGCCATCGGCCTTCGTAACGACCCCTGATGATAACTCTTTACAAGCGATCTGCGCACAAGGGTTCTCCCACAGGGTTACCTTGGCCAGAAAATCGCCATAAGGGTTGGATTCAGGGGCACTACGGAGAGGCCGCTTCAGCCAGGGACTCAAGCAACTCCTTCACCCCTCACACTCTTCGGCCTGAAGCAGTGGGGGACTGGGGGACTACATCGGCCTCAATAATACAGACAAAGGAAAAATGCACACAAATGTAACCACAAAGCATGGCCACATCGTCCATGTATCACAACGGCGCCAAGGTTTTCGTGACTCCATCTCCGGCCAGGTACTTTGGACAACACGGCGCCTCGTCGGCCAAAGGCACATAACATCATCAACAACAGCCAACATGCCACCTAAGGCAAGGACATTCATCGTCCTCCGCTAACAGTTAATCATAATGGGTTCTTCGACCAAGAACACGAAAGCCAATCAGCGACGGCCAAAAGGAGTGCGCAAGCACCCTCATCGGCCACCCAAAGGAAAGGACGCCCATCGTCCTCGAAGCAAGGTTCAACCTCAACGGCCTCATCGGCCCAAATGTAAATCTCAACCATCGACGTCCAAGAAAGAGAAAGCGCGCCTTCAACGGCCACCATCGAAGCAGGACACTCATCGTCCCCAAACGAACACACCAAGGAAACAACGGCCTCCCCGTCCACAGCAAGGAGCAGGTAACGGCCAAAGCACAAAACAAGATCACCAAAATGGAAACAGCGCCAACGCCGCAACAGCTAACGGCCTGGGAGTGCCCGCATCGGCTAAAAGCACCAAAGCACGGGAATCTACTCTCCTTCACTTCGTCTACGTCTCAGCTTAGAGAGTGGGGGACTCCTGATGGAGTATATGGGTCTGAGCCCCAGGACCCACATACTCAGAACAGAAAGCACAAGACACTGAGTGGTGCCCTCGTCGGCCAAGGGACCCCCGTCGGCCGGAAAGGTACCAACTCAGGATATGGTCCTGAATCCAAGGAACACGGGTGCCCTCGTCGGCCGCGCCCTCGTCGGTCGCGCCCTCGTCGGCCACAAAGACCTCACAGAACCGGATTTTACACTTACTCATTTGTACAACCCATTAGTGGCTTTGTATTCGGCCCAGTAGCGGTCCAGTTGTAAATGGGCCTCCCAAGCCCAAGGCTTGGGAGCCCAGCCCGTATTTTCCCTATAAATACTTCTTCTGGAGGTAGTTATCAGAGTTACAAAATCATTCTATTGAAGCATATTATTGCACTTCTCTCTCTAGCTCTCACTTCTCTCTAGATATACTCTATCAGTTTATATATGGTGTACCCCACGGTGTAATCCAGAGGTACAACTAGTACAAAAATGAGTATGTTTGGTATAACTAGCTGAAAAGTTACTTTTGTGAGTTTTTTTGTACGTAATTGTTAGCTTTTGATGACTGAAAAAGACATTAAAAAAGGCGCAATTGTTTGATAAAAAACTGACTGTTTAATTTCATTTAGATATGTTTAGGATATAAACTTTTGTGACTAATTAATACTTAAAACTATAAACTCTTTTCTGATGCTACTCAGTGTAGTTTCTCAAAAATATTTTTTATTTTGAAAAAAGTTCTTAAATTTTGTCATACCAAACATTCAACTAGAAATTTCTAAGGAATTTTTGAATAGTATAAAAACTGGAAGATATAGACTTATGTCTATCAAACATGCACCTAGAGGATATTTGGTTTTAAGCCTATCAATCATTTTTTGACTGATTTGACAATATTTAGCTTTTTTACCAGATCAATCAATTAATTAGAGTGTTTGGTTAAATGATATTTTCAAGTAGTCTTTTGTCCTAAACAGGCAAACGGGCAAAATATGAAATGTCATTTAACTTGCAACAACCCTTCCACCAAGGTGGAAAAAAACTTCTGCCAACGTAAATTTGCTCCACCAAAGCGCAAAAGAATTAAACAACGCAGAGGCCAAGCGACCTTTTCCGTTCGTTAACTATCCAATTCTCCTCTTTCCATATTTTTTTACCCCCTCCATTCCTAAATAAATTTCCAACTTTCCTTTATCGTTCGTTTCAATTAAAACTTCCACTTTCCTTTTTTGGTAAAGAATTTGTGGTTCACAACATTTCTTACACATTTCTCTCTCTTCTGCACAACTCTCCGCCACACAATATCCACTATCTTAAACTTTGTGCCAAACCCATTTGGAAGTTAAAATGGGAACGGAGGTAGTAATATACTTCTTCTTCACTTCAATTTCTTTTTGTGTTTTCTTCTTCGTTTGTGTAGTTTCTTTCTTTTTAAATTTTTTGGTAGTGAGTTTTCTGGATGTCTAATATATACTCCCTCCGGTCCCTATTAAAGTTCCCAGTTTGACTTCACACAGATTAAGAAAATAAATTTGACTTTACTGTGGAGTGCACTGTTTGGACACTGTTTGGTACTGTTTGACACTGTTTTGCACTGTTTTGTTTCCTACAATGGAAGTATGAACTTAAATAAGGGACATCCCAAAAAGAAAAGTGAGAACTTTAATAGGGGCCAGAGGGAGTAAGTATGATATGGTTACTCATTAGTTTAAAAGTATGTTTAGCACAACTAGTTGAAAAGATATTTTTTTGAATTTTTCAATAGCTGTTAGTTTGAAGTGACTGAAAATATTTTAAAAGAAAAACGTTGTAGTTGTTTAATCTCAGCCCATGATCATCTTTAAAAGACTGTAAGTAAGAGGAATGGATTATTAGTAAAAGAACTGGAGTTTTGTTAACAATTTCTTTTGTATATCTCTACTATAACTCCAATTATTAATCAAAAAAATATCATCATATTGATTTAATATATTAATTTGTGAAAAGTAATGTTTACAATAATTCTTATATGTGTTAATAAATTTTATACTTTGAAATCATAAAAAGGATTTAAGTAGTTGTACTAATTAAATTAATAAAAAGGGAGGAAAATAAATAAAATATTCTAAACTTTATATTAGTGTGATATCCTCACCCCGAACTTGTTCATCCCAACTTGTTCACATTGTGTATATATCTCATACATTATCAAGTTGATGTACTTCGTATATACTTGATGAAAGCACGCATGTGGCATTTCTTTTCCACCTAGACCACTGAAACTGGATCTATTTAGCATATTTTAATTTGAGAAATAGAAAAGCCATGACCGAGGATCTGTTCCGTCTCCACCGAATCTTCCACTTCTGGTGTCGTGCGAATCCACCAAATGGTGAGGATCGTATATGGCTGAAGATGCAAGAGTTAATACCTCAAATAGGATTAATAGTAAAGTTAATTACACATTTAGGACTATAAATGAAACACAAGTTTCATGGGACAATTTTCAGAACATTGTACAAAAATACCCCTCTTAATTTTTTAAATTTTAAAAATGTAAAATACTAAAATTAAAAACTATTGAAACCCTAGCAGTAACATTGTTGCCGCCAGAGCCAAACCTCCCGCCGGCGCATCATGCCCAGGGCCGGTCCTGAGAAAACACGGGCCCTGTGCAAAAATAAAAAGTATGTCTTTTTAAAAATAGGTAGACATATAATGTAAGTGAAGATTATATTTGTAATAATTTGCTACAACAATAATTTGTATCAAAATACAAGTTATTCACTAAAAAAATAGTTGAAACAAAAGTGTTCCTCAACAAAATACACTTCATTTATTTGTTAAACGGAATTATAAACTAACAGACTCATAACCTAATAATCGAAATTGGTGATTTGCTGAGTTCAATTATTACAAACCATCCAAATATAATTATCTACTCACTAAATCATTCAAACTCAGAATTAAAACCCAAAAAAAAGAATAATATAAGGATTACAAAATACGTAGTATAAGAAATAAGATAGTGCTTTATAATTCAAAACTATGATATAAAAACGTTAATTGAAAGTCTTTTAACATCAACCCAACGGTTGAATTGGTTCACCACTCGTATGTGTAAGCAACCCACCCGGGTTCGAAACCTCTTGGCTACAATAAGGCTTAGGGATTCATTGGGCTTACTTTTTGGGCACTATTAGTTCATAAGTAATAATAGGAAGACTTTTAAAATTTTGGGCCCTTAGAATTTACGGGCCCTGTGCGGTTGCACTGCTTGCACTTGCCCTGGGCCGGCCCTGATCATGCCTCCGCCCTCATTAGAGACGGCGCCGCCTGTCGCCGCCAGCTGCCACATCCTTGCCGACGCATCATTGCCACCCATCGCCACCCCTGACGTCGCCGCTTCCCATACTGTTGTCACCATCCCTGCCATCGCCATCTGACCGGCGTTGCCATCAACCACCGCCACCATCCTCTGAGCACCACAATTAAGGCAGAATAAAGCTTCCATTATTTTGGCAGATTTAGAGTTGAGGATTAGATCCACATTTGCCATAACACAAGAATTTCAGATCTGGCAAAGAGTTGGCAGATTCATGTTGGAATATTAACACAAAACTGCCATAAATTTGACAAAAAGTGAAAAACATGAAGTAAATAACCAAATATTCAAATAACTAAATTTTTTAGGGGAATAATTTTCATAGGACAATCGGAAATTAGAAAAACGAAGGTATTCAAAAAAATCAGAAAAACCAATTTATACAAAAGCATTTATGCCATAATATGATGTTAATGTACTTATTTCTGCCATAAACTTGGCCAAATCCAAAGCAATCATCCAAAAAGTTGAAAATCAGAATTTGTTTTAAAACTCAGAAAGTAGAAATCAGAAAATCAAAATAGAAGTCTGAAAATTGGAAAATTCAATTCCAAATCTAGAAAAATAGAGGAAAAATGAAGAAGAGGAAGATGAAGAGGAAGAGGAAGAAGAAGAAAAAAAAAGAAGAAAAGGAAGAAGAAGAAGAAGAACCTTAATGGCAGCGGCAAAATCGACGGTGTGAGAGAAAGCTCGGTAGATCTGATGCGCAGGGCGAAGTCGGCGGCGGCGACGATGGTCTGGGTGAAATCGATCGATGATGCGCAAGGAAGAAAGAGAAGGATGTGTGCAGGAGAGAAGGGGGGAGAGGTTGTGCGCATTGGAAGATGTGCGTAAACGGGTGAAGGCGTAATAATGGAATGAAATATACATATGTTTTAAAATAGGAGCAAAATAGTCTTATTTGGGGGAAAAAACTGGTCCTATTTCAGAATTTCTCCCCTCTTTTAATCCTATATGGAGCAAAACAACTAAATTTTTTAGGGGAATAATTTTCATAGGACAATCGGAAATTAGAAAAACGAAGGTATTCAAAAAAATCAGAAAAACCAATTTATACAAAAGCATTTATGCCATAATATGATGTTAATGTACTTATTTCTGCCATAAACTTGGCCAAATCCAAAGCAATCATCCAAAAAGTTGAAAATCAGAATTTGTTTTAAAACTCAGAAAGTAGAAATCAGAAAATCAAAATAGAAGTCTGAAAATTGGAAAATTCAATTCCAAATCTAGAAAAATAGAGGAAAAATGAAGAAGAGGAAGATGAAGAGGAAGAGGAAGAAGAAGAAAAAAAAAGAAGAAAAGGAAGAAGAAGAAGAAGAACCTTAATGGCAGCGGCAAAATCGACGGTGTGAGAGAAAGCTCGGTAGATCTGATGCGCAGGGCGAAGTCGGCGGCGGCGACGATGGTCTGGGTGAAATCGATCGATGATGCGCAAGGAAGAAAGAGAAGGATGTGTGCAGGAGAGAAGGGGGGAGAGGTTGTGCGCATTGGAAGATGTGCGTAAACGGGTGAAGGCGTAATAATGGAATGAAATATACATATGTTTTAAAATAGGAGCAAAATAGTCTTATTTGGGGGAAAAAACTGGTCCTATTTCAGAATTTCTCCCCTCTTTTAATCCTATATGGAGCAATAATTAAGATGTAAGCACTAAGCACCATATAAATAGCCTTTCAATTTTTTACCTTCTTTTCTGTCACCCATGCCTTTCTCCCTAATTCTCCCACTTTATGCCTCTCTCTTAAAAAACAGTCCACACCTTAACTCCCCAGCTTCAGCTTCTTTCACGCATCAACATCTCGTTTCACGCAACCCAGACCGGAACCCACCTTTTTCGGCAACAGACCTTATATATCCAGGTAGCGGGTGTAAGGTAGCTCTGATGTTTCCGTATCAGTCGCGAGTCAAAGGACGGTCCATTTTTGAAGAAAAATAAAAAGAACTGTGTTTAGAAAAATATGGTCCGAAAAAGCTTGTCTTCCATGGCCAAACAGTGAGTTTAGAAGTAACTTTTTTTATGTTTACATTTTTGTCAATTCACAAATGATGATGGTATTTCGTGATTTACGTGATGTTTATGTGTATTAAAAATATAAAATTGGAAGTATGAATCAAGATTTGATTGTGTGTTTATTCGAATTGCAGTGTTTGTGTCCATTTGAAACCATTTGATGTCCTTGTGGAGTTCATATTGTTGTGTATGACATGTAATTGTTGGTATTTTATTGTGTGTGTTATATACAAAAGTGGAAGATTGATGAAGTCGTTTGGTTTGTAACTGTTAGTTTGCCAACATGATTAGAGTTGGAGTTGTGTGTGAGCTTCATCTTACTTGTCCATGAGCTTCATATTATTGTCTGTAAGCTTCATATTAGTTCTATGTCAGGTTCAGATTGTTGTATGTCTACTTCGTAGTACTTCTTTGTGAGTTTTAGATTGTCATCTGCGAGCTTCATATTTTTGTCCGTGAGCTTCATATTTAAATTGTGTGTGACCTTAATATAACTTGCTTGTGAGCTTCATATTTTTGTCTGTGTGCTTCAACTGATTGTATGTGACCTTCGTATTGTTGTCTGTAAATAACATGAATACATTCCTTCACAGGGCCTAATGTATGTTTGCATAGACAATTATATAATTTTACGTGTTATTATTGTCTGTGCATACCAACAGTTTGATGTAGCAACTTACGACACCAGGGTGTGAGGAGTCATGGTGATGGTGGCATCATAACAACATGTGGAAAGTGAGGTGTCAGTTTGTTGTCCAGTTATGGCGTCTACAGAAGAATGATGCTTGACTCCGTATTTTTTAGATTACTAGTCGAACTTTTGTGACGGCTTATGGTTTTTGGATGTTGTAGAATGTTGTACAATACTGTGTGAGTTTTGTACAAGGTTGTAACTTGAATGCCAAACTTTAATGCATCCGTATTGTGTAAACATTTCCTCTATGTGTATAAACACTTGTAAGTTTGTGTAATGGAAATGTGTTTGTGGTAATATATTGTATGTTAACATACTTATTGTTCTATGTGTGTGTCGACATTAATAAATGTGTTGTTATTATTATTGTCTATGTCCATCAACAATTCAACAGTAATAGGTGTGTTATTATTATTATCTGTGTGCACCGATAGTAATACGTGTGTTGTTGTTATTATTATTTGTGTGCACCGTCAATAATAATTGTGTTGTTGTAATTATTATTTAAGTGAACGGACAATAATACTTGTGTCTTGTTGTTCTTATTATTATCTGTGTGCACCAACAAACTATATCAATACACAATATAAGCTTATGCACTTCTTCCATCATCCTTAATTGTACTTTCCAACTTTCCTGTACATCTTTTTTCGCAGATAAAAATATTACTCGCAAAGAAATATCTAAAGCTCACAGACATTGATATTACCCACAGACAACTATCTGGAGCAGTGAAGCTAACAAATAATTCATAAGAAGCTCAAAGACAACAAGATGAATCTCACTAACAAGTAACATGAAGCTCAGAGACAACAATATGAACGTCACAGACAACTCATATGGAGCTCACATATAACTCCAACTCCAACCATGTTGGGAAATTAAGAGTTACAAACCGAATGACTTCATCAATCTCCCGCTTTTGTATATAACTCGCACCAAAAAAGAACATACACTTCGCTAATCTTACATAACAACTCACAAACAATTACAACATATTGGCGCCTAGTAGAGGACTAGTCGGAGATAAAGAAATTGCATTTTTATCTATACTTTTGCATAAGTATGATAAGTAATATTATATTTTTGTGTGTATAAATACATGGGGAATTTTGACTTTTCACCCCATATTTTGGATGATATTGGACTTTGCACCCCATTTTTAAAAAACTTTGATTTTGCACCCCATTTCGCTTCAAAATCCTTTGACTTTGCACCCCATTTTGAAATTTTCCTTCACAAATGTTATATGATAGGGTGCAAATTCAAAGGTTTTTTAAAATGGGGTGCAAAGTCCAATATCACCCAAAAAGTGGGGTGCATAGTCAAATTCTCCTTAAATACATATATACATATACACTAAAAAACATGAATTATCACATTTAATCATATGTAGTATATGATAACTAATCACTTAACTTCATTATGTTATAAATATAAATAATGATGAAATTTAGGTGTATATATATAAACATATATAGTTTTATCTTAATTTACAACTTCATTTCTTTATATCCATGTCTAAAGCTAAAATACGTATATCGCTTAGAAAATTAATATTAAAAGTAAAGTAATGTTCGACGAATGTAGACGGCTTAGGCGGACGATTGGGCGCTCTAGGTGGGCAACTAGGCGCCATAGGTGGCCAATTAATTCATCTAGACGGCAAACCAATTAGTCGGAGCGTCTAGATGAAAATCGAGCGCCCGACCACCGCCTAGCGCCTTGGCGAGAACTAGTCGCCTAGAACGATTTTTAGAACAGAGATTGACACACAAAAACTTACAAAGCAAATATTATTTGTGTACACCAACAAAAATACTTCAAAATATACACAAACAAATATCAGCAATTTCATTTCACACACAACAATAGGAACGACACAAACACACCAAATAGATTCAATAACCTGTCACTTTTGTATAAAACTTAAACAAGAAACTCACACACTTCACTAATCTTACATAACAATTCACAGACAACTCCAAGTCAACTATCTAGGGACACAAACACTGCAATTCGAACAAAAATGACGTAACAAATTCTTGGCTCGTACTTCCAATTTTATACTTTTAATACACATTAACATCACCTAAACCACAAAATACCATCATCAATTGTGAATTGAAAAAAGTGTAAAATCATCAAATTACGTTATTTCAAACTTACTGTTCGGCCATAGCATACAAGCTTGTTCTGACCATATTCATCTAATTAGAGTTCTTCTTGAAAAATGGCCTATACTTAGTGTCTTTATTTCGCGACCGGCCGTCGACTTGGACCCTCCTTCGACTAGCGACTGATACGACAACGGTCGAAGTTCCGTATCCGGTCGAACTCTATCTTGATTTCACTTCCATATCCGGTCGCTACTCCGTTTGAGGAACATAGAAAATCATCCATGAAATTTTAAAAGAAAGAGAAAAGAAGAATGAGGTGGGGAGGGAGAAGAGAACGAGATGGAGTCTGTGAGGAGTGTGAAGCAAGTAGGGGAGGGATATACCAACTCAGTAAAAACTTTGCTAAATATATGGTGTACCCCAGGATGTACACCAAGCAAAATTAAAGTAACTTTTGAAAACGGAAACTTTGCATCCTTTTTCACCAATTAAATCTAGGGAAAAATAATTAAAATACCCCAAACTTTGAAGGGGTATGAGATAAACACCCCAAACTTTCATAGTAATTTAAATACCCTAAACTTCATATAAAAAGTTATTTTAGCACCATGAGCATATATTATTATTATTTTCAAAAATGTAAATTTATGTTGTTAATTGCATGATTTAAAATAAAAAGATTAAAACGCAGCAATTATATAGAGTGGGGGTAATATTATTGATTTTATAATGGAAGTTTAGAATATAAATTGTATCTTCACGAATACTAAACTATTTTAAATTATGAAATTAACACCAAAATTTAACATTTTTGAAAGAAATAATTTATGACCATGGTGCTAAAATAACTTTTTATATAAAGTTTGGGATATTTAAATTACATATGCAAGTTTGGCGTGCTTACCTCACACTCATTCAAAGTTTGGGGTATTTTAATTATTTTTCCCTTAAATCTATTCACCAGATTGTAGCTCGAGAAATATTATTTAATTTGTTAAATAAAATGACATGCATATTGCTGTTAGAATTACTTTGGACAAAAATATGACTAGTTATTTTTGTGGACAAAAATATGATTAGTCGTTTTGTATGAGTAACTAGACAAAAGTCACTTCAATGTGTCCCTCAGAGTGATAAGTCACTGACAGATGATAATGATGAGTTACAGAATATGTCATTTTTTTGGATTTTTTAATGGGTCATATTTTTGTCTTTTGAATTTAATATTTTAATTTATTAATATTCATGGAAAAAGGCCATTAAAATATGGTTCCAAAAATTCAAATAAATAAAATTGGGAATATTTTTCAAACTAGGACATGTATGGGGTGGGGAGCTCACACGAAGGTAAAGTTGTATACTCCCTAATTCCTTTAAAACTTTGTCATCTTTCTTTGTCGGGACGTTCCAATAAACTTTGTCATTTTCTCTTTTAATCAATGATTTTGTGGTTTCTTTTATTTCTTTCTCTTTTGTACAAACTGCAACCATACAATTTTTACTTTATTATTCTCTGTGTCAGTCAAGTTTTGCAAAGTTTTAAAGACATATGTAGTATTATTTATTTTCCCCATAAAAATAATTGATGTCTTTAAAAGTAATTTAACAAGTTATCAATCATTTGTAACCAACCATTTAATCAAACAATATCTATATCTATATAATCAATATAATAAAGCAAACCCTTGAAGCACTCTTTGGAGGAGTAATTGACATGTAGCAACATTATTTGTATGAAAATATGACATGTGACAACA